TACTTTTGAAATAAACAATGAATGTGAATATAATTTTTTTTTCCGCAAAATTGTTGCGTAACAGTGTAGCGCAGAATGGGTTTGACCCCCAGTTAGCTATAAATCAAGTCATGAGTTCGAATCACGCCGGAGCTTACATAAATTTCACCTTTCCAAACTTTAATAAAAGAAATTATAGATATTTATTGAAAATATGACAACAACAAAGAGTTGAGCACTGCTGATACATATCAAGCAAAGTAATGAAAATGAAGAAATGTGTTTAGCTGGTATTTTTACACAATTAGTTATTAAACTAAAGGTGTAAAAATTTTTGTAACAATTTTAACACTGCAGGTCTCAACTTGTTCAAAATATGACCTCATACTATATACTGGTATTTTTACACAATTTAGCAGATGTGAAGCAGAACAGATTATCTTGCAAATACCCCCCCCCCCCAAAAAAAAAAAAAAACATACTGGTTGTTCAAGAGATCATAATAAAAATTAAGAATATCAAATGTACTTTATATATGATATAAGAAAATGCTCTCATGACTGTCTGTTTTGATAAAAATTAATGTAATATCCTTGAATTAGTAATATTTTGAATCGATTCGATTACCCGTAAAACAAAAACCTCGGTTTTTGAATAATTTTGATTCGATTTTTGGAAACAAAATGTTTGCTTCAGTTCTGTTTAAACCTGTTATAGTTATTGAAAATTCGAAATAAATATTAACCAATTTGAAAGTTTTTTTCATCTTTTATGACTCAACAAATGTAATGTGTTTTACTTTTTAGCTCACCTGAGCTGAAAGCTCAAGTGAGCTTTTCTGATCACATTTTGTCTGTCGTCAGTCTGTCTAGCTATCTGTAAACTTTTCACATTTTCGACTTCTTCTCCAAAACCACTAAGTCAATTTCAACCAAACTTGGCACAAAGCAATTCCTTATGTGAAGAGGATTCAAAATTGTTAAAATGAGTGACCACGCCCTTTACCAAGGGGAGATAATTAAGAAATATTGAAATTTTTTGGTAAATCTTTAAAAATATTCTTCTCAATAACTATTTGACCAGGGAAGTTGAAACTTATGTGGAAGCATCCTCAGGTAGTGTAGATTCTAAATTGTTAAAATCATGACCCCCAGGGATAGGGTGGGGCCTCAATGGGGGTTGAAATTTTACATAGTAATATATAGGGAAAATCTTTAAAAATCTTCTTCTTAAGAACCTTTTGGCCAGGAATGTTGAAACTTACGTGGAAGCATTCTCAATTTCCTTTAAATCTTATCATGACCTTTCATGACCCCTGGGGGTACGGTGGGGCCACTATGGGGGAGGGGTATCCATGGGAATATTTATAGGAATTTTTTTTAATGAATTTTCTTTTCCAAAACTACTTGACCAGAGAGGTTTTCTGAAATGTAACCATAACCACAATGGGAGAGGGGGAACAGAATATTTACTGTAAATTTTACATATGAAAATCTTTGGAGAAAAATCTCAAAGTTAGAATATGTATCAAAAACTTAATATAAAAAAACTAAATTTGTACAGATATTTCTGATCTGTTAAAGCTGTTTGGTTTGGAGTATTTGACCATAGTTGCTCAGTTGAGCGGTGTGGCCCATTGGCCTCTTGTTTATACTAAGTATAAAATATATGGGAAACATGAATTATCATTATCTTAGATAAGCCAAGCAAGGGTATCCTTAGTAGGAAAGTAGGAATTTAAAGGTACTTCTTGCTGCAATAATGAAGCCTTTTCCTGGAACGTGGGGTACAACTCATTTTGGATCATACAATATCATTTCCATTTTTTAATTGAAATCATACAATGTAATCAGGAACATTTTAAAATAAATGTTTCTAATGTTATTATTCAGAGCATAAATTTTTCCAAAATATTTAGTAAAGTCTGAGTTTACCGCAAACTTTAAAGCTTACTGACCTTTACCGATTTTTTTTTTGGGACAGCCAATGAGAATTTGGGAGCGGATCTTGAACTGAATATGGGAATTTTTCTTACTTCATACGTAAATAATGCAGCAAAAATAAAATAAATACCTCATAAACATTTATATATGTGTTTAGTGATAACAAAAATTAATCTACTGCAGTATTAAACGTCATTACATCACATGAGAACTGTCCTGGCTGCTGAAGAAAACAACTTGTTTTCACGCTGGTGTATTTTTTCTTGTGGCGATTTAATAAAACATAAGTTTGTTTGCTACGATTAAATATAATCCATTTCATCATTGAATAAATATTTTTACGATCTTAATTTTGTCCCACCTCATAGTTTTGAGATTTACTATGCATGGATTAAATTTTACAAACAATCGGTATTTTAGCAGCATTGATAGAATGAACTGTACGGGCCGCAAGGGCCGACTTCAGACTTCCTATCAAGCGTAGTTACCACGACAACCTTTACATATTTAGAAGAACAGGCTGTCCCTTCTATATAACGTACCGAAGTTCAATAACAATAATTTACATATTTCACCCACTTTTTTTTAAAGTTAAAAGGTAATAGTAAACATGGCGAACAAATTCAAGTTGCAATCATTTAGACACATTTCAAATTGAAAATATCGGTTATATTGACGTTATTTAATTATTTCGATTTATTTCAAAGTTAAGAAATGAAAATAATGTTATTGTAATTTTTGGCGGAAAAAGAATATCTACTTCACTAAGATGTGATTCTAGCTGGAGTTGTAACCCCCCCCCCCCCATTTACCCTCAAAAAAGCATAAAAGAAAGGAAGGATAAAATAAAATCGGGTAGTTACATTAATATTGCTCCTACTATCATGAGCTTTTTGCCTCCGTTGAGATGACCAGAGACATAAATAACATATAATAAATGTGTCTTCGAGATGGCAAATGATAACCCACGTGGCCACAATATCACACTTGCATGGATAAACTTAGAAACGATAATACAAATACGTGTAAATTTTCATTGGAAATTTGCTATATATTTTGTTCATATATATTTATGATTTCTTATTAGAGAAAATTATAAAACAACAAATATATATCTACTTAGTACAAATTACTTTTGTCTTCTCTGATTTGAACACCGTGATTTAGCGTGAATGTAATACGCACGCGCAAGATTGTAAAATCCAAAAAATCCAGATGATTTCCGGAATTTTCTGAGGAATTTTCGTTGATTATTAATTAGCGAAGCTTAATAGAGAAAAAATAAAAACAAATTGGTAATCTTCAAGTACCAATGATGTTTAAAATATATAAAACAAACGACAGTACTCCTCCGATTTATCGGTATTAAACGCCAAAAATTCGAGTCTATTATTTTAATATAGTAGTATAGATTTTAATGTGATACTACAATATAATTATAATATTACAAAATTTCTTTCTTATTGAATTATCAAACATTTTTCTTCATAAAATATTGTATTATCTGAATACCTATTTAAGCATATTTATTAACTATAAAAAACAATCAACATTAAATCCAATAATCAAGTGACTTACCAACTTCGAAATCCACCATGAACTCTTCAACACGGGTTTCCTGTAGACAGCCCATGATGACTAGCACAGCAACATAATATTCGTCTGTCATTCTTGACATCAAACCGTCACGTTAGCTCAGTTGGTGGAGCGCTCACTTCGTGATCGGAAGGTCGTGTGTTCGAATTACGGCCGAGACTGACCTGAGTCGATAAAAAAATTGGTAGCAACTGTTTCTTCGCCAAGCGCTCGGTACTTTGAAGTGAAAGTTGCGGGTCTTTCGGATGGGATGAGACGTTAAAAACCGAGGCCCGTGTCACGGAAGGCGTTGGCACGAGGAAGAATCCTCGCTGCTCAATGGCCCTAAGTGCCGAGTAAAGCATAGGGGCTTGTCTAAATGTAAAATTGTTAAATGTAAAATAAATTACAAAGGATCAGTGCACTTAAGCTACATGTATGAGTGTTGGATCCCAGTGCTTTGCCAATAACAAATTTCCGAAATTTATAAACTTTTTGAATCAGAATTATTAAACAATATCTTAATAGCAGGGTTTGATATATTATATCACATAAAAATATTAAATAATGCCGAGCGACAGTGGTTTTTGCGACAGGGGTCTAGCAGTTTTGTCACATTTCTATTGTTATTCATATGCATACCAGTTTTCAACGACATTGTTTACATCGAGCCGCAACTTGTCCATTCTTCTCATTTGCACAGAATGTGTATTTTGACTTAAACTTATACATATCCAAAGGGCAATGTTGGACAATTTGCGGCTCATATATAATTTTTTAAAAAATTCTCCAAACTACGCTCGGGTTAGCTACTAAATTAACAGGTCACCGAGTGTCAACCTGTTTGACCTGTTTGATATTATAATCACTTTACTCGCGTGACATTCCACTGTTCGATATGCTTTCATTGTGTCTATCAATGGACTTCAGGGGCCCGTTTCACAAAGATTTCCTAAGATATTTCCTAAGATACAACTTATGATATGCCTAAGTTACAACTTAGGATGTTCCTAAGTTTTGTCATAGCTGTTTCACAAAACTTTCTTATCTTATTTTTTTTCCTAAGACATATCTTAAACCATTTATATAAAACCTTTACGAGCAAAGGGGATCCCCCCCCCTTTCAAAAAAAAAAAAACAACAACAACAACAACAAACCAAAACAAAACAAAAATGAGAGGTAAAAATTAATTCGTATGTAGAAGTTAATAGGCAGTCTCTTTGAAATATGAGATTTATTTTTCTTAATTAGGTGTATTGTTACAACATGTATGTTAAATATACAGGTACGTGCACAGAAAAGTCACATAGTATCAACGATCAATCGTACATTTCATGCACGTAAAGTGATATGTACTTCCAACTCGTACACAATTATTATACATGTACATGTACCTGCGTTGGTGGGTAGAGGAAACGATGGGGGAGAAGTATTAAAAAACAGTTATTGACTATTAAAAACAATTCATTTAATTAGAAATTGCTGTGAAACAAAAATTTTGGATCTTTGGTTTCGGCAACCTAAATCGAACACTCTAGTCAGCAGTTAAAGTGTCTTCCATTTCGTCATGAATGAGTGCATTCCATTGTCTAGTCCATGTAAATAGTCCGTGCTTAGATGTATACATACTTTCCCGCCCACAAAATCAGAATGTCTCGACCAAAGAGGAACCCAAATTTTACTACTGCAGAAATTTCTATATTGACTGAAGAAGTGGAGAAACGGAAGGACGTGATATTTTCCCGACAGAATTCATCTGTGACCAACCAGGCAAAAAAGGGGGAATGGGACTTAATCTGTGAAAAAGTGAATGCCGTAAATACATCCCACTTACGTACAGCAGATGAACTAAAAAAGAAATGGAGTGTTCTCTGTAGTGAGACAAAGAAAAAAATTTCCAAAATAAAGCGGGAGCAAGTGAGGACTGGTGGCGGTCAATTGCCTGCGGATTGTAGCGTAACCCCTGTGGAGGACAAAATACAGTCCATTATTGGAGAAACTGCAATATCTGGAGTAGACGGGGGTATTGACACTCTTGAAGGTAATGCTGGATAAAGTTGGTTTCTACTAAATTTACAAGATAATTTAAAGTTTGACGTGATCATTGTTGCAATAATAATACGAAAAAACAGAAGTGTCATTGTTCTTTTAAGTAAACAAACAGTCAATAGATTAATTAATTATAATTTAAATATACCGGTATTTTATTTATAAACTTGTATAAAGGATTTATGCGTAGATTTATTTGAAAAATGCCAACCTTTCCTTAGAATTTTAAATACATTTACCCGGTATATGTGATTAATCTCTAGAGGTGTCTTATGGTATGGCAGGAAAGGGGGCACTGATCATCACAGAAGTTCCAGCGGCTGACCAGTCACTTGAAGGATCAACGGATACTATAGCTACATGTACATCTTCAACTTCAAACAGACAGACTTCTACAGTGGGCGGTAAATATGTTTTCGTCTTCTATTCTGAAAGGAGGGAAGGGGTATTCTAAAAAAAAAAATTACATACGTATGTTGTATTATCGAATACTAGTACATGATTTGATCATTTTTTTTTTTTATTTTATTCTTTTAATGAACGCCCTTTGTTTCAAATATTAAATTTAAAAATTATATTTTAACGTCATTTCATTGTACATGTACTAACTTGTGAGGATTTACATATATATATATATATATATATATATATATATATATATATATATATATATATATATAATTCCTGATCATTTATCAACAGCAAAGAAACGTAAGATAGACGTTAAAACGCCTTCGCTGGATTTAATTGATGTTGAAAAGGAAAGACTGGAGATAGAAAAGAAGAGACTTGATGTGGAAATGAAAAGACTAGAAGTCGAGGAACAAAGGCTTGCTATAGAAAGGACAAGATTACAGCTAGAACAGGAGAAACACAGCATAAAACTCTGTCAGCTGGGCATTATTTCCAATGCCACTATCACTTCTCAACAATAAATATTTATTTTTTTATCTTTTTATTCTTATTGATAAAATTTGCACATTTACAAGCAATACTTGTCACAGGTTACTCTATATGAGTTGATGTACATATAAGAATAGAAGAAATTGTTGCTTAAAATCTTGCGTCAATCAATTGTCTTCTAACTTCTGTTCCGTCATTCAATGTCCCACGATACACATTGTCGTTTCCGTCATTAATAACGGCCCTTCCAACTGGGTCTGGGACTTTATTGTCAATGCATATATTATGCAGAACTGCAGTTGCAACTATAATATTGCAGGTTCTTTTAGGTGAAAACTGAAGTGCACCACCTGATGTGTCCACACAACGAAATCGCATTTTCCATACACCAAAACATCTTTCAATGACGTTTCTTGTTTTCATATGAGCATTATTGTAGGCATTTTCTTTAGCGGTGGTTGGGTTTAGAACAGGTGTGAGTAAATATGGTTTAAGTGGATACCCACTGTCACCTACAAGCCCCCCTCTTGAAATTATCATGTTTTCTAAAACTTGACAAAGTTTAGAATTGTTCCAAACAAATGAGTCATGTGATGACCCTGGCCATTTTGCTACTACATTGAGAAACTTTAAATTGGCATCACACACAGCCATGGTGTTAATTGAATGATAATTTTTCCTGTTCACGAACACATTTTCTTCAAAACTCGGAGACTTAATTCCAACATGTGTTCCGTCTATCGCACCAATAACATTTGGAAATCCACTTATTCTTGAGAAATGGAACATAGTATTTGTAATTGCAGTCTCATCAGTAGGCATTTTTATATATCTTGGACTGATTTTTACTAAGGATTCAGACACATCCCTAACGATTCTTGATATGCTTGCTTTACTTATACCATGCAAGTCAGCAGTAACCGTTTGGAAACTCCCCGTGGCTAAAAACCGTAAAGCAGCCATGACTTGGAGGGATGGTGGAAGTGAGTGTGATCTTCTTGTAGGCCTTCTGATATCGTTTTCGATCTCCCCACAGATATCCTGAATCAAATGGCGAGGGAGTCTAAACTTTGAGATAATCTCATCATCATCCATATAATCCATTGGATCATTTCTGTCTCGAAATATTCTTTCTCGTCGAAAGAGATTCCTATGATTTATAATAACATGAGCAGCCGCCATATTTAGTCTGTTCTTAAGACATCGATTTACCTCTCCTAAAGTTAAGACACAACTTAGGAATTTCATAAGATATGAATAGTTTATAGAAACGGATAAGTAATGAACTTAGGAAAAAGTTCTTTCCTAAGATATAACTTAGTCCTAAGTAGGCTTTGTGAAACGGGCCCCAGGGCTGTACACACGGATATGTATTTAAGTACAAAATCTGACTATGTATAGACTGTTAATACGGTGAATCCTAAGATTTTTCGAATCTTATAAAACTGAATTAAGAATAGGGCAATGGTCTATTTCTTGATACAAGTCTTAACTTACCTTTCATTTTTAAACCAATCAAAAGTACTCACATTGTGGTCATCCTATTATTATCATAACAAAAAAAAGCATGTGGTAAATAATGGTCCACTTTATAGTAAAAATATCGAAAAAGTCGTTGTTTTATGGGAAGAAAATCAAAAGGAGTAACTACATGTAATTGTAAAAGTTGCTCAAATGCAGCGCTATCTATTCTAAAGAAGTTTTTATAACCACTGGGGTCTTCTCTTTGCACCTCATCTAGCGATGCATTGTGTGCACTAAGTACATATACGAGTGTTCCGCCGCTGTTTCCATTACGATGGGTTTTTTTTTTCAGTTTTAATGCAATGCAAATTACGATAACAGATACTGCTAACAGAACCTCGTTTTCCATTATTGAGAGAGAGAGAGAAACAGAACCTCGTTTTCCATTATTGAGAGAGAGAGAGAAATATTGCGAGGGAAACACGTAGAAATCCCTAAAGTCTGTTAACAATCTAGTAAAACGTATAAACGTGTGTACAGGAAAGTATTATAATACAAATATAATACTTGTATTATACAGTAACTACAAATCTCACCGTATGTACCGGCCTGAACAACTTCAAAATAATGAAGAATTTTGCGAAAATTTTATTAGGGTCTTAAAGTTTACCTTGTCTTCTTTCACTAAATTGTGTTTTTCGTTTGGTATTTTGAAGGAAATTCTGATATTGCCAGTGCAAATCAAGTGCACGATTAGTATGTAGCTGTGTTAGCTCATGTCGCCTCTGTATTATGGTCTGCAGGCATCTACAGACACATCCCTAAACACTAGTATCATGCGTGACAATATTTGGATTGCCGAAATGAAAGAGATATTGAAGACATATAGTAACGTTGTAGAATTTTCGTTGACCATGTTTTTTAATCTGAAATATACTTGTTCCGTCAATAAAATGTTAATTTAAACTACAGATAGTTTGTTTTTCTTGGAGTTTTCATGTTAACCTAGCGACTCAAATTTTAAGTTAAAATTTTATATTTCATTTCCGAATGTTATTTATTTATACATGCATATAACAAAATATGTATCACCGTGAGTACTACATACATGTATAATTTGTTTCACTACACGTTTGTATTACTCTACGTACTACATGTACAGTGAATTACGATTAAATGTAACGTGACATCGAAGTCATGTACATGTGAATCTTTCTTAAAACATACATTCATTCTTTTAATTAAAAAGCATTCAGAATATAAAACGAAAAATGATAAAGCTAAAGAAAAAAGAGGGGGCATTTTTTATCATATACGAAAACTTAAGATTGATCTAATTGGGTGCTAGGCATCAAACATATGGTTACGAATCATGAAAATGATCAATATGTATGGCCATGAATCATTTATTATTTGTGTGAATCATGAAACTACACAAGCTTTCTCTCCTCCATTTAAATTCATACTGCAGAATCAATCTGGAAATAATGTGCAAATGTTTACATTCCACTTCCATGAGATTTAAATATCTCCGCCCATTTGCAGGTACCTTAAATTCGAAAGTGGTCCAGTTCAAATTTCCGGAATTTAAGGCTTATACATGTTCTTTTCAATGACGTTGTGTGGGATTATAGCAATATGTTTAACAAAAAATTTGAAGTATAAATAACAAAAGCATACGTATGCACAATAATCATAGAATCTACTTTAAATACACTTAAACGTTGTTAAAATAAAGATTCTGACACTTTCTGTCAAGAAAAAACACGTTTAAGAAAGATTAACTGATTGATTGTATGTTGTTTAACGTCCCTCTTGAGAATTTTTCACTCATATGGAGACGCCACCACTTGCCGGTGGAGAGCTGCAAATTTTGTCCTATGCTCGGCACTTACGGTCATTGAGCAGTGAGGGGTCTTTTTCGTGCCAGCACCTACTGCGACACGGGACCTCGGTTTATACGGTCTCATCCGAAGGGCCGCTCTCCACGTCCCACAGTGGGATTCGAACCCGCGACGTAAGGATCAACTCCTTACTTCGCGACTCTAGAGCAGACGCTCTAACCACTGCGCCACGCGGGCGACCGTTTAAGAAAAACGTACCACATCTATATACATAAACTCTATAGCTACAAGGGACGAAAGCTCTCTTTTTGGGAAAAAAAATACCCCCATCCACTTCAGCGCCTATTTCTGGGCTCCATTAATTCATCACTGTAGGGGACAGAACCATGACAACGAAATAAATTAATGCTTTAGAGTCCAGAAATAGGGGCTGAAGTGGGTGGGGGTATTTTTTGCAAGAAGCAAGTTTTCGTCCCTTGTAGATTTTATGTATATAAGTGTGGTTCGTCTTTTTTAAGCGTGTTTTTTCTTGACTGAAAGTGTCAGAATCTTTATTTTTACAACGTTTAAGTGTATTTAAAGTAGATTCAAAATTTTATTACATTTGTAATTTATTTTACATTTAACAATCCGGAAGACAAGTCCCTATGCATCGGGCTAGAAGTACTCAACAGTTCCTTCACAGAATTAATATCACTACCCTGAGTTGGCCAGCACAGAGCCCTGATCTTAATATTATTGAAAACCTGTGGCTGTTATTTAAAAGGAAACTTCAGACGCGAGTAGGGAGGATCGGGAGTAGGGACTGCTTCTACCGCGAGGTTCAGAACATCTGAACAGGGTGCACAAAAGACTATGTCAGAAGCCTCTACCGGTTGATTCCTCGCAGATTACATGTACTCAGTGTAGTAAGATTGAAAGGACATTTAACGAAGTGTTAGGTAAGTTTAAATTGTTTTATTTATTTTGGAAACGAAATACATACGTTTTTTATAGTGACCTACTTTCGTTGGAAATGTAAGCATGCCGCCATTTTGTACGAATATTTATTGCATCATATAACGAGGTCTATCTATCTATCTGTCTGTCTGTCTGTGTGTGTTTATTTGTATTGAGAGAAAATTGAAATTCGACACGTTTATGTTTTCAAGTGAAGTAGAAATGTTCTTTTACCACTCGCCTAGATTAAAGAACCTTTTTCTTACGAAAGTAGAAAAAGACATCTATGTTGTCTATAAAAACATACATTAAACATAGAGTAATACAACAGCAGGTGTCTAGTTTTCCTCCCCATGTGAATTTTCTACAGATCAAGTATTAAGTTGCTGGCCACTTACTTTCGCCCCCCCCCCCTTCAAGAGATTAAATAAACGGTTTTAATAACTTAAGAGGGCTTATAAAGCGTGTATTGCACTAAACCTATTTGTGCGTATGTAAAGATTGCGTTAGCAATGTCATGTTCCATCACATTATTTAATTTTATTAGCAGAAGGAGGGAGTTTTCTCCATCATGACACTTAATGTAAAGCAATCAGAGCTGTGCTGTAGACTCCTCCTTCTACCTGTCTGACACATACGTCATTAACAAGGCTGCAATATTTCCAAGACAATTAAACTAATCAACGCAATTGTGTAGTAAAATATACAACGTATATAAGTAACATTTAAGTTCCATCGAATGACATTTGCTAAACCACATGATAATGGACGAGACTGTAAAACAA